CGGTTATGCTAACGGTCAGGCCCCGCGGGACGGGGAGGGCAGCCAGGCAGCATCCCACCGCCGCGCGCCCAGGCAGGGCTCCGAGGAGAGCTGGGCTCCATGAGGGACCCCCGGCCTGCGGAGGGGATGTGGTCATCATCCATCATCAGCCCCCGGCAGCCGCCCAGAGAGCGGTGACCGCTCAGATGTACGAAGACCAGAATTAATTTTGCCCAGATGCTGCCGCTGGCAGAGCGGGTGCCGGCCCCGGGAGGCAGCGGTGCAGCAGCTGGCATCGCCGTGCCACCATGCACCGTGCAGGTGCAGTGCAGGAGTGTAAAAGCCTTTGACACGGGGGGGTGGTTACGATGAAAAATGTTGTTCGAAGCACTCCCCTTCTCCATTAGCACTCCCGCAGTTCTACAGCCTCAGCCCCTGGATAGCCGGTCAGGTTTGGTGGCGTTTCCGTATACTTTTCTGAAGAAATCTTGATGTCTGGTGTAGATAAGCCAGAAGACAAAGCATGATTTGTCTCTGGCTTGACAAGCCACATGAACCTTTTCTGACTCAACATAAGAAATAGAATGGGCTATTCTGCAGTTAAGCGTATTCAGACTAACAGCCCTCCTGGACCACTGGTCAAGCTGTTTTCAGGGGAACTGCTAAATTTCTGGGAACATCAAACGTCTGACTACATTTCATCACCAGGTTTTGGCATATAGTGCCAAACTTATTTTGCCTCAGTTTCCTCCTTTGGTCACGTCACCCCGCACATGAACAGCAGGAGCCCTCTTTTCTGTGGCATTTCCTGAGGAAGAGGAACAGGGTGAGGAAGGCAGCTCGGTATCGCCCCACGTCTCACTCTCGGGATGCTGGAAGGTGAACTGGATCCCGCTACCCCCAGAGTGACCTCAGCCTTCTGTAATTTCACTCACTCAGCTGGCAGGATTACAAGATGCGACAGGCAGCGTGTTACAGGCGGGTAAGCTCTATGCTGAGAACCAAGGAGTGTATTCAGTGAAACACACGTATCCTCAGGATGTTTTCATGTGCAGCACCTGATAGCTATTACCGCTTGGAAACTTCCCGACTGTAACGTACTCCCGTATCACGACTATGACTGCATCATAAATATATTCCCGCAGCCTGTCGCACAAGAGCAATCCCTTTGGGATTTTTGTATCTCTCTTTTGCTATTTTACAATTAATTGGCTTGTGAAATACAAAAATGGTGATGTCTGCCGTCTCTCGAGCCTCAGCTCCATCCAGCCTAGTTTCCCCCATCTCACTCTCGCGTCACGAAGCGGCACACTTCTGGGGAATTTACCCTTTTCACCACTTCATGCGGGTGATGGGACGGGGCTAACGCTTGTTCAGAGCAGACTTCTTGACGCAGCCCTGGAAGTGGAGCCAAACCCCCGCAGGGAGAGCGGGAAGAGAGCAAGACCCCGAACCCCTGCCCAGCGACAGCCCTTCCCGTGCCGGGAAGCAGACGCGTGCCTACCCGGTACTGCGTGCCGGGGGCTGTCAGCGGCGACAGACCCAAAAGCACACGTTTCTGCCTACTTTGGCACACCTTAGTCACCTCTCCCATCAACCAGCCGCCCAAAGGAGCCAAACCTGACGCTGCTCGGTGCTTTACCGAGGTATCACACAGCCAGGCACCCCCACGGATGCTCCCCCAAGGAACCGCGTGACGGTGGGACACAGGCTGCAGATCGCCTCCTTCGAAAGCCACCCCAGGTGACACACGCAGGGGACTTCAGGAACGTGCCAGGCAGGGGACGGGATGTGTTAGGGTTTTAGCTCACCTGGCAAGGCCTTTGCCCACTTGACCACGTAGACCAGCTGCCTCTCCCCGAGCTCATTCAGGCTGGTCAGCAGGTTGGAGAAGGAGTCTGGCTGGCTGTTGTCATGGCCAGCACACACCACGCCAGGCTCAATGGCCTCCAGGACGTTGAGGAAGATGGGCTGGCACTCATACCCATCAATGTGCGTTATCACCATCTTGGGAGCTTGCTCCTCTGTGGGGCTGGATGAGCTGGCTGCATCAGCGTCGTCTTGTGTCTTCAGGTTACCCAGCTTCTTCAGCTTGCGGGCTGTGGAAATGACACATTTTAGTGTGAGACTTGACTAAGGAAAGAAAAAGCTTGAGGCTTCTTGGCCTCCAGCTCCATCACGTCTATGTATGAGAAAAGGGAAACCAATGGCCAGCAGCAGCTAGTCCTTCAGCGCACGCCGCCCACAGAGGACCTCACCTAAGGACAAAAGGGAGCACACACTGCGGCAGGAAATCCATGTGCTCATTAATCTTACATGGAAAAGAACAAGCATCATTTACATCCTCAGCCACGACCGGCCTCACATTAACTCCCACTTAGAAATGGAGAAGAAGAACTGGGGAAAAGAGAGAGGAGTGGCTCAATTCAAACAGCTACTCACATGCAATTAAAAAGGGAAGCAATGCAAGCAAATAAACTCAGTAGATGATAGACACGTTCCAGGGAAAAAAGCCATTGTGCTCAGATGCTCAAGCGGGATTGTTCCATCCCAGGCCAGAGTGGAAGGGGGCTGCAACCGAGAGAAAAGCCTTCTCGCTGCCCGGGGCTCCTGCGACACCTCCTGCCCTATAACCAAGCTCTCCCAGCTGGATTGCTACTCTGCAAATATATTATGGAAAATACATTTTAAAAGCTAGCAGGTGGTTCCATGGCTGTTTCCCTGGAGTCTCCCCAGCTAGCCCACCGACGAGGAGAAGACTCGAGCAGGGGTGGCCTTGGTCTGCCGGCCACCTTGAAGAGGAGCCTCAGCAGCATGGGGCTGGAACTGCAGGCAGCCGACGACCGTGGCCAAGTCACCGTGACGAAGTGTCTCTCCTGTGCACCTGGCTCTTCATTACAGATGCCAGCCTGCTAGCAAGATACACCAGGAGCTTCAGATGCGTGACTTCAGAATTCTTTGAGAGTCAGTGTTCACCTAATCTGCTATCTGCGTGACGGTGTTCAGCACAACATGGGTTGGCAGGCCACTGCAGATGGGAACAGCTTTCACCCCTTACTGACTCCAAAAAACCCTAATTAATTAGAGAAAAAAAGCCGATCGTTTAATTCAAGCAGAGAGTATAACATCAAACCAACTGTCCTTGGGGGTTTGGCTCCTTCATTACATGATACTTATCTCAAATTTCCTTTCAGCTGTAATTAGAAAAATAAGCAGCGAAACATAAAAATGTCAAGTTAAAGTGCAGCTTTGTAAATCAATTCAAAACGCTGATCTTTAAGTCATGTACTTTGGATGATCTACTGTATGAGCAATTAAGACAGGCTGGTTTGTAAAAAAGGAGGAGAAAAAAGTAATAAAAATAAAAGAGAGCAACGGGAACACAGAGCTGCAGCGCAGCCTGACATGCTCCAGCCATCGCCGGCGCGGGTGGCAGGCCACCAGAGCATCCAGCCTCCCCTCTCCCAGCCCTCCCGAAGCCGCCGGCAGCACGGGCAGCACCAGGACCCGGCAGGATCCCCATGCTCTCCTCTCTACCCCCGGAGAGCCGATCCCTGGGACAGGTACGGCACAGCTCTCCCTGGACGCTGCACTGGAAGCGGCACGGAAGGAGAGGAGCGCAGAACGCCGACCCTGTGTTTCCCAGCACCCGCGGGTTCATTCGGGAAGGAGGGACCTGTGCTGACTCCCGGGGCACAAACCCCGTCCCGTGGTGTGCTTGGCACTGGGCCTTCAGAGACGGCACTGCAGCTAGGACAGAAACACTCCCAGGCTTAAAAGAAGAATTAAAAACCAAACTGCATCTTCCAAAGATGAATAATCAGTGCACATCGGGTGCTGCGCGTAAATGGAGCCAAACCCACACTGTGTCAAGACATGCATGGTTTGGTTTAAATGTTAATTTTTTTTTTTTCTTCTTAAACTTGAATTATCTAGTACTAAAAGAAGTTGAGTGCAGTAGGAACACAAGCACCCAACCATGCCGGCTCTGAGACTGCAGCTGTAAAGCAGCCCCCTCCGTGCTGGAGAGCAGCAGGCGGATGATAACCGCTCTGATCAGAGCAGCCCTGCGTCTGCGCTGCCCAGGGGCAGCTGCTCCGCAGAGCACTGAAACACTGATGTTACCACATGGAGAAAGGCTTCCGAGGTAAAGAGTAGCTAATATTGAGTCACCTGTGCAAAACCCCCGTTTGGTGGTAGCTCCTACTCAGCAGCTACTGGGAACAAAAACAGAAATAAAAAAAGACCTCTGTTATACTTTTGTCCTGGGATGAGCCAAGCCAGGGGCGTGCAGCGTGCTTCTCCAAGCCCAGGTGGGATGAGCCCCAGCGCGCGTGCCTGGAAACGCGCGGCGTGCCGGCCCGGCTGTTACGGGGACGATGGTGCTCGCAAGCCTGAAGAAGCAGCAGCTGGCACAGCACGGCCCCTGCTCGGCGTTAACTGGGAAAATACCGTACGCGTTCGAAAAAAAGCTTAGAGGACGTAATCAGATGGCATCACAATAAAAAATTCACCAGCGCAAAACATCCGGGGAGCACGCTACAGAGCGATTATCAAAAAGTGACACGCATTTTAAGCACTTTAACCTGCCCGCCCTCCTGCCAGGCGTTTCTGAAGCTCGGGGCTCCGGCACGGATTTTCCAGGAGTGCTGGGACCCGGAGAAGTTCGGGGGACCTGGAAGAAAACTGCTTTTGCACTGGCAATGACAGAGAAATCCTGCCAGCCCCAGGCACCGCACGGTGATATCCTGTTCTTTCAACTTCTTATTAACATCAACGTGTGGCTTGTCGAAACCAGATCTTGTCAAGCTATCAATCTTTTCTGGCACGATAATTTTAGTTAATAATTATAATAGTACTGGTATAGCAGACACATTTAAGAGATGTCAGTCAGATTGGCCCACATGAATTAAAAAAACTCAAATGATATAAAATCAGCCGGTACAGCTGAATGATTTTAAATCACCCAAGTGATACATCTCAAAAGTAATTATAAATGTTGGAACAACATCAGACAGGTTTGTTTCTTACGCGGGTTGTTCACAGCCCTTTGCTAGTGAATGTCTACATTCATTCCAAAAAGAAAATGAACTATTTCTACTAAAAAAATCTTTACGACCACACAAAGATGGGAAAACAACAATGAACAGTAAGGACTGATCATTGGACAGACTGACCGAGGTCTGCGGATAAGCTCAGTCTATTAAAGCGAAGTACGCTTCCCTGTAAGGAGATACACCGAGCACCTGAGAAGCGAGCCAGGTTCGAGGAGTGTGGAACTCCATCCTCGGCGGGCTCAACTCGCACCAAAACCCGACGGACAAACCCAGAGGCCTGAGCTGGCAGCGTGGTTCAGCGGACACCGGACTAACCGGACCCCGCGCGCGCAAAGGAGAAAACGCTGGCCCGGAGAGCATCTTACCGCCGCCTCTAAGCGCTGATGCTGCTGACACCGGGAAACTGGGATTATTACTCACCGTACGAGGGAGGCGTTCGCAAACTGCAGGAGCCGTAAGAATAGTAAAGACTAGGCAAGGCACCTTGGAGCAAGGAAGGAACCGATTTTACCTAGGTGGCTATGCAGCACGCTAAAGGGTTATTCAATCACAGCCAACAAAGACCCACTGTGGGGACAGAAATTCAGTAAAAGTAGTTTTTTTCAATCTAGCAAGCAAGATGTAATAAAGATTCAGTTGCTGGAACTCACGGACAGACAAGATGAAAAATCAGGTACATCTATCACTACACCAAACATAATTAACTACTGCAACTGCGTGGCAAAAAGTGTGTTAGATCCTCCACTGCTGGGAATGCTTACATAGATATCAAACGTTTTCGTAAGACATGAGCTCTAGTTTAACCACGGCAACGGGACCGGAATTAGGACTAAATACAGGTATGACTCATGCCTTGGGCTTTCACAGGCCATCATCAGTTACTACAGGAGTTTTCTAGCCGTACCATCGATGATACCAACTGAATTCTGCATGTTTGGGAAGTTTTGCCCCAAGACAGGGCCCACACGGAGCGCAGTCATGATGCTGAAGGTGCACAGCAGAGCTGTTGGCTGAGACATCCTGCAGCACAGGCGGGCTGCCAGCTCCGGCCGCGGGCAGAGACGCTTGGTTCTCACAACGGGAACAGCCTACGGGACCTCGCACGCCAAGATTAAAATGCACTGGAAGGAAATGAACAGGAGGTGCCTTAAATCCAGAGCTCCGCAGCGCAGCAGGAGCTGTGCCGGCTGAGTGATGGGCAGGATCCCGACTGGAGCAGGACAGAGGGGTCCGGATGCCCGTGTGTGCAGCGGGGGCTGGCAGGATCCGTGCAGCGTGTGTGCAGCACCACGCTTCCCATGCACGGGGGCTGGCAGGATCCGTGCAGCGTGTGTGCAACCCCAACCTTCCCATGGCACGGGGCCGGACG